ATAAAATTTTCTTGGCTGTGGTTTATGATCTTCTTAATGTGTTCTCAAGTTGTGTTAAAAAGTATTTTACTAGAGTTTTTGTATCTGTGTTCATTGCCAGTATTGGTATTTAGTGTTCCTTTGCCTTACCTGGTACCAGGTAACACTGCTGTCACGGAATGAGTTTGGTAGTGTTGTTTCCCTTTATAAACATAGAATAATCTGAGAAGTATTGCTGTCAGCTCTTCTATAATAGTTCATTAGAATTCAATACTGCCTGTTAGGTCTTTTATTTATTAATTTATTTGTTTGTTTGTTTATTTATTTATTTTCTTCCCCTATTAGGAATGGGGTTCTGTTTGTTTTTGGCTTACTGTATTTAAATAATCAAATTTTCCCTCTTATGAAATTCATTCTGCAGTATGTTTTGTATTTCCACATGAAATTTAGATGCCACTTGTAGGTATTTACAAAGCTTTGCTGAGATTATATTGAATTTATAGATCTATGTAAGTGATTAAGGCTACCAACACAGTGATGGCCAGGAGAGGCTTTATTTTTATAATTTAATTTCTTCCAGTAATGTCACATTATTTTTATTGTACCTGTCTAGCAAATATTGTGTGATTTTTTTATGTGTTTCCTGAGTTTTAGCCTATTGTAAATGGGAATATGTTTATATACTTCAGTATTTTATTGCTCTACAGATGTACTTTTTTGAGGGGGGATGCATTTCATTTTTCTTTATTGTTTTTTATGTTTTAGAATTTTTATGTACTGTTGCATGAGAGGAGATGATATTACTTCTTTTACAATCTGCATATCTGTTATTTGGTTTTAGTGAATTTACTGAAGAGATCTTTTGGCACATGTACATTTTTTGTTATTTGGCTCTTAATGAATTACAGTTCAAATTAAGCCAAAACAGCAAAAGTGGAAATGCTTCTCTTGGTTCAGATCATGGGGAAAACTGTTCATTAGTTTCAATATTATTGGGTGTTTCCCAAGATTCCTTTATATGCTTTATTTTTCATCAAATTTAGATTATTCTCTTATCAAGTACAATGTTTTGGTTTTGTTTATTTCATCAGAAATGACTATTAAATTTAAAAATTAAATACTTTTATTTTAATATGTTAAGATGGCTATATTATTTATTCTTATAATACAGTTCAATTATATCAATTGTCTTTTAAGTGTTTATAAAAAACCTGTCCTTTCCAGGATAAACCCAACCTGGACATGTTCTTTCTGTGTGTACATAGCTGGATTACATTTGCTAATATAATTTTTTCTAAGAACTTTCAATAACAAAATTATGCTATGTTACTCTCTTTAAACAAAATGGGAAATATTTTCTACTTTTTCTGACATGGTCTTGCTCAGGAAGCTGGGAGCTTCTTTTTATCTTTGTAAAGAGATTTTGTAATGTTTTCTCTTCCTTAACCATTTGGTGAACTTGAACAGAGAGGCCACCTGGATCTGGAGTTTTCTTTATGAAAAGGATTTTAACTTTAATTTATTTAGCAGATTCAAGAATATTTATGTTTTCTGTGAATTTTGTCAGTTTCTCTTGTCATAGTAGTATGGGTTTCAAAGAATTTCTTCATTCCATCAAACTTATTGTTACATTGTTCAAGTATCCTTGTGATCATGCGAATGTCCTATCACTTTTCATTTATTATAATGGTGATTTCTTTTTTATTCATTATCTAAAAACTTACTAGTTTTGCTAAGCTGTGAAATAATAACCATTTTTATGCATTTCGTTTAACTTTCATTTTCATATTTCTGTTTCATGTTATTTTTATTGCTATCCTATTTAATGATTTTTAGCTGTTGTTTTGCTAATTTCTTGAAGTGTGAAGATAAATAAATTTATAAATTTAATGAGACAATGTAGAACTTCTATAGGCAGCCACACAATTTTTTAATTCTTTTAACAAATTTCAATAAGTTGTTTTCATTATCATTTGATTTATAGTACTTTTTAATTTTGATGCGGTTCTTCCTGAGTCCCTGGATTAATATAAATGTATCAGTGACTTTTCAAATATTTAGATATTTGCTCAACATCTTATTTTTCAAATTTATTTACAATTTACTTCCATTATGAAAAGTCACTACTTTCTGAATATCACTGAATCACCCAACAGTGTGTGTTTCCTTTAGGTACTGGGTTTTGTTTTGTTTTAAAAATTTGACCTATTAGTGTAGTACATATTAAATAAGAGGTCCTCAGGAGCTATTCATGAGTGAAACTACGTTGGATTTTCTTCTATGCTTTCATATGAAGCAACATCAATGATTTAAAATCCTAATATGTAATTTGTAACATCAAATATAGTCTTAAGAATGCTTAATAAACTTCCACAATTTCAGTATTTGACTGAGTGTGCATGGTTCCCTACTAAAATATCGACATGAAACAGTTGGCTATAACTATTCTTAAATGACATAAGTGAGGGTGATCGTTGAAAATACAGACAAAAAGAAAGAAGTGCACTGATTTTCTATAAAATTACCTGTGCGATAATTTCAAAAATATTGATGAATTATAGCTTAATGTAAACAAAATTTTCCATTCAGATAGTTTTAAATACAGAATTAATGTAAAGGCAGGGTATGTATAGGCACAACAAAAAACAAGGAAGCCATGCACAGTGTTATTCATAGCAATTCTAATTTATTTCTTAACTATCTCCATGACCATTTAATATTGAAGTTTCGGGAAAACAATATGGGTTTAATATTAAAGATGCAATTGCTCATTTTCTCTGAATTAGGGATAAAACTACGTAATGACTTTTAATTAATTTTATTTTGTGTTTAAAGTTATATTTGACACAAACGTAAAGGTAATCACGTCCTCAAAGTTAAAGTTACATGGTTCAAAGATAGGGAAGACCTGGATTGTGGTTCGGTTGTGTGACTTGCTGCACATAACATAACGTCTCCGGACATCAACGTTCCAGTCTTTAACTGAGGTAAGACGTTTCTCTGGTCACAAAATAATGTGATCACCTAAAATGTTGCATATGAGAGAAGCCTACACAATTCCTATTTTAAAAATGAATTATCATTAGATGTATGTGTACATTATCATAGAATAAGTGATAAAATAAAAATAGGAGATATTTGCTCAAAAACACCTAGTTTACAACTTGGTATCTTAGTCTCTAATACACATAAATTACAGACACAGCAAAATTTAAACAGCATATGGGATTGAGGTACTCGATGAGAAAACTGAACATAAATGATTGATAGGAACTATAGTGTGACAATAAGCAATCCACCCTGTCATTGTTTAAAGAGGAAACATGATCTTCTGAATATGATCTCAAAAATCTCAGCAACACATAATACCATGGTGATTACAGTAAAGGTATACATTGCGATGAGAAAAATAGTTTTCTCAAAGTGTTCCGGAACCATGCATTTTAGAACATTTATTTTTTTACCAAGGGATTCAGCATCACACAAGTATACAGGGTTCACCTGGAAGCCGAAGAGGTGAATCTGTAGCCAAAACGCTGCCACCTCCAGGCTGATTCTTAGCAAGACAGAGAGGATGTAAATCACAGTGTACATGGGCTTTTGAAGGATGCATTCTTGATTGATGCTTTTACATGCCGCATAGAGGTGGAAGATAGCTCCAGGAAGCAGGACAATCACCAGTTGCAATGCCCAGAACACCTGAGTGTATCAGAACTATTTTAGTCAAATCAGATAAGCAACAGGTCATGGATGTAGCAAGGGCCAACTTAAAAATTCTGTTTTCACAATTGCCTGATGCAAATGAAAATATGGTGAACAAACATAGTAGCGCTGATACATATCATTTATTTTCTAAGATTTTATAACTTTAAACATATGACAGTTGGAAAACATCATATTTTACTATTACTACTATCCGCTAATTATGATGAATTATTTGATGGTAATAGCGGCTTCATGTCTTTATGCTAAATACAGTCAGAGATAGTAGAATACTAGATTTGAATTTTTTGAGGACCTCAAGTTACATTTTCTCAAATATTCAGTCAATTAAGAGGAATACAGTTCTCAAAATTATAGGAGGAAAAAAAAAACTACATGTGCTGAGGAGTCAATGTTTGCATGCATACCCGAAAACTTACTTGGGGAGTTATTGGCCTGAACTGGTTGTAACAGAATAGATTTATCTCCCTTTTGTCTGGGTCACAGCTGAAATGCAAAGCCTCATTGCCATAAACTGCAAAGCCCAGCACTCCAAGGAAGAACATCCTCACGGAACCGAAGAAGAGGGTGTGGAACTGACCGATCACTGTCGGAGGTTTCACCTGTTGGTTTGGGAGGGAGGGGGAATTGGGTTGGAAAGGAACATTTAAAAAGGATAATTGGAAGGATATTTTTATGTTCACATTTAAAAAAGATTTTAAAAATGTTGAGATCTGAGACGTTTTGAAACAAGACAGATGTTTGAGATGATCATAGTCACTTAAAGCCTGAATGAGTGTTGTGCCTCGTTACTCTTCAGTTATAGAGGGCAGGAGTCAATCGGGCTCTATTGCCGATCAAATGGGTGAGTTTTGAAACACTTTAACCAGCTTTGAATTCAATGTAATCTCTTTGAAATGAAACCATAATATCTTAGAATGTCTGGCTGCCTCTTTTGGAAGATTGGATGACAAATACAGCATTAAACTTAGGACTAATACTATCAAAATGACAGAACGTTATTTGCTTAGTGTTGGCAAGATTTTTTTCATACTTAATATTAAGAGTGCAAGCTACTTCAAAGAATCAATCGATGAAAGTGCTTCAATAATTAATCTACCTAGAATTTTAAGTTCAGACTATTTTACAGAACATGGTTGTTAGATATGTTACTTTTATTTGTAAATGCACATTGAATGTGCTCATCAACACACATGCCAATGGGGTTAAATATACACAGACAAAAATTCACGCAATCGAGTTTCTTGTTCGCTACTTACACATCCTTCGTAGAAGTTCTTGATGTAGTTTAGAGACATCTTTCAGGAGATGTTATCTTGGCATTCCTGTGGACTATTGTTAAAATATGTTGTCAGTTTGCTTCTACCAGCATCAAACTCTTACATTCTCTCTTGACTTGTACAGCAGAAACCACCTATCTCTGCAAATTTCTCTCCCCTCCTCCTTTTCCTTTCTTTTTTCCTCATAGACCTCTGGGGCCCTAGTCAACTTTCCTATCTCCATCTCAAAACAAAACAAAAAACAAAGAAACAAAAGCGGAGGGCATGTGGTCAATCTAATAATCCCTTGGCTTGCAAGATCAGCAAAGCCAGCCAGTCAGCCAGGAGTGCCAGCAAAGCAGGCCAGCAGACAGATGCCCTGAGCACCCAGGGCCCTGCAATCTCTTGAGAATTGCTTAGATGTGAATTGGCACACTGTGTAATCTACAGTGTTATTTGGCATGTCCTAAAGTACACGGAAACATTGCTGATATTTTCTGATTCCCTTCCACAACATATATTGCTAATTTCTAAGACGTCTAAGAAGTTGCAAACACGGGAGTTTGATGATTATTACAACACTGAATATTATTAGTGTGTTGTGATATGTATCTTTTTGCTGAATACTTGCAACAGATGTGGAAAAAAGATGCAAATATGTGCCCTGAGGATATATTTGTGGAACGATAATCAAGATAAGACTAGTGTCTATCATGAATCATAACAATCTTTTCAGTTTGTCCTTTAGGAGATACATTATCTGCTGGAAATTGTTATGAGTACTGAGGTCCAAGGGACCTAGAAAGATAAATAACTACTTCAACTTAAACCAATTGGCGTATTTTCTATAGACCAATAATAGCACATAACCAATTATGGATCATATCTAATTCTTTTATTCACTGTTCTTTCTCTTGTGATATCCTGAAGACTAACCCCGGACTGTTTCTCTTTTCCCAACGTGAAGACGTGACAGTGTTATATATAGTTGTAACCAATGGGCAAATGCAGGGATATTCTTGAGTGCTGTTTTAATAGGAACAGTCAAAATGAGCAAATTAATGATTTCTTAAATAATAAAAAATTATTTCATATTCTCATCTCTTTAGAATCAGACTATAGATATACTTTACTTTCTTCCTAGAAAGATATGTGTAAAAGCTCGTGCAATTATTTCTGCCAGAAGAGTCATGTTTAGGATTCTATCTATGTGCAACAATAAATAATGTTTAGTTAAATATATACAGAAGCATACATGTATGAATCATAACATCCTTTTGTGGGCTACTTGATTACAAGGGGAAAATCCCGATCAATAAATGCTATATATTCACTCTTAGCTTCCAAAGGGATAGTGAACTCACCAGGTAAGAGCACTTCTTGGGACAGGGCCCTTGCACATATGGCAGTTGCTAGGGTCATTTATTGGGTGATCATCTGAGTTTCTTTACATGCAGGTTCCTAAAAACACAGCTTAAGCAGTGCTTGGGAATCTGCTGGGTGCATGTTTGCTAATGTTACATTAAGTAACACAATGAGAAAACTAGTTTCTACTGCTTCATCTGAAGTCACCTGACAGGGGTTTGGGCACAAAATAAGGAAAATACTGTGCTCAAATGTTTTCTACTATAAATATTCTACCACAAACATTCACTTCTCTCTCACTGTTCTCACCTGTCTAATAGCAGACTTAAGCTACCATGCCTGGGTAGGGCTTACCTATGACTCTTCTTGCTCTAGAGTCTGGAGGTACAAAGGTAAATATCTTCTTTTACTTGCTATCCACAGGAAACGGTGAAACACACTGGAGAGCTATTGACATGGCCACTCCAAATCCCAAAGAGCAGGAGAGTACAGCCATCATGACCGCAAAGCAGATTTTGAAATTTCACATGGGAAAATATTGATAGTTGGGAATTTTATTGTTTAACAGGAATGTTTCCCAGATCCACAGCTACTACAATTTGCAGCTCTGCAATGACCTACAACTCTGTACTTTGCTCTTGGCTAAGAGCACCTTCCCTCTTTTATTAGGAAAACAGTAGTTGTGTTAGAAGCCAGATGGTTTCTTTAACTGCTGGCCTCCACAAGAAAATCAGGGAACCAGAAGTCAATAATTTGACCAAATCTAGTTCTTTAAAACAATATTAGCTATTCTATAGCTATTACCGTGTTTAAAAATGATTTGCTTTTTTCCCTATTTTTTTACTTAAATTAGAAACAAGATTGTTTTACATGTCAATCCCAGTTCCCTCTCACCCCCCTCTTCCTCTGCCCCCCACTAACTACCTATCCCATCCCCTTTCTGCTCCCCAGGGAGGGTGAGGCCTTCCATAGAGGATATTCAAAGTATGTCATATACTTTGGAGCAGTGGCTAGGCCCTCCCTCCAGTATCTAGGCTGAGAGAGTATCCCTCTATGTGGAATGGGCTCCCAAAATCCATTCGTGTACTAGGGATAAATAATTATCTACTACCAGAAGCCCCATAGATTGCCGAGGTCTCCTCACTGACACTTATGTTCAGGGGTTCTGAATCATTCCTATGCCGGTTTCCCAGATATCAGTCTGGGGTCCATAAGTTCCCTCTTGTTCAGGGCAGCTGTTTCTGTGGTTTTCACCAGCCTGGTCTTGACCCCTTTGCTCATCACTCCTCCCTCTCTGCAACTGGATTTCAGGAATTCAGTTCAGTGTTTAGCTGTGGGTGTCTGCCTCTACTTCCATCAGCTGCTGGATGAAGGCTCTAGGATGGCATATAAAGTAGTCGTCAATCTCATTATCATGGCAGGGCATTTAAGGTAGCCTTTCCACTATTGCTTAGATTGTTAGTTGGTGTCATGCTTGTAGATCTCTGGACATTTCCCTAGTGCCAGATTTCTCTTTAAACTTATAATGGCAGCTGGGTGTTGGTGGCACACTCCTTTACTTCCAGCACTCGGGAGGCAGAGGCAGGGGGATGTCTATGAGTTCAAGGCCAACCTGGTCTACAGAGCGAGTTCCATGACAGCCTCCAAAACAATACAGAGAAACCCCGTCTCGAAAAACCAAAAAAAAATAGATAATGGATTCCTCTAGTATGGTATCTCTATTCTTGTCCTTCTATATTCTTCCCCTGACTCAACCTTCTGCTCTCTCATGTCCTCCTCTCCACTCCTCTTCTCCCCTTCTCCTTCTCCTAGCTCCCTCTATCCTCCCCCCATGATCCCAATTTGCTCAGGAGATCTTGTCCCTTTCCCCTTCTCTGGGGGACCATGAATGTCTCTCCTAGGGACCTGTTTACTTTCTAGCTTCTCTGGCAGTGTGAACTGTAGGCTGGCAATTCTTTGCTCTGCTTAAAATCCATATGTGAGTGAGTACATACCATGTTTGTCTTTTTGTGATTGGGTTACCTCACTCAGGATGGTTTCTTCTAGTGTCATCCATTTGTCTGAAAATTTCAAGATTCCATTGTTTTTTTTTTCTGCTGAGTAGTACTCCATTGTGTAAATGTACCACATTTTCTCTATCCATTTTTTAGTTGAGGGGTATCTATGCAGTTTTCAGGTTCTGGCTATTACAAATAATACTGCTATGAACATAGTTGAACAGATGTTCTTGTTGTGTGAATGTATATCTTTTGGGTATATGCCTAAGAGTGGAATAGCTGGGTCTTGTGGAAGACTGATCATCATTTTCCTGAGGAATCTCCATACTGATTTCCAAAGTTACTGTACAAATTGGCACTCCCACCAGCAGTGGAGGAGTGTTCCCCTCTCTCCACATCTTCTCCAGCATAAAATATCATTGGTGTTACTGATTTTAGCCATCCTGATGGTATCTCGGAGTTGCTTTGGTTTGCATTTCCCTGATGTCTAAAGATGTTGAGCAGTTTATTTAGTGTCTATCAGTCATTTTAGACTCCTCTATTGAGAATTCTCAATTTAGTTCTGAATCCCACTTTTTAATTGGATTATTTGGTGTTTTGGAGAGTTACTTCTTGAGTTCTTTGTAAATTTTGGAGATCACCCCTCTGTCGAATGTGAGGTTGGTGAATATATTTTTCCATTCTGTGGACTGCCGTTTTGTCTTGCTGACTGTGTCCTTTGCCTTACAGAAGCTTCTCAGTTTCAGGAGGTCCCATTTATTAATTGTCGATCTCAGTGTCTGTGCTACTGGTGTTATGTTCAGGAAGCGATCTCTTGTACCAATTCGCTCAAAGGTACTTTCCACTTTCTCTTCTAAGAGGTTCAGTGTGACTGGATTTATGTTGAGGTCTTTGATCCATTTGGACTTAAGTTTTGTGCATGGCGATAGACATGGATCTACCTGCAGTCTTCTACATGCCAGTATCCAGTTATACCAGCACCATTTGTTGAAGATGCTTTCTTTTTTCCATTGTATAATTTTAGCTTATTTGTCAAAAATCAGGTGTTTGTAAGTGTGTGGGTTAATATTAGGGTTTTCAGTTTAATTCCATTAGTCTACCTGTCTGTTTTTGTGCCAATACCAAGCTGTTTTCTGGACTATGGCTCTATATAGAGCTTGAAGTCAGGCATGGCAATGCCTCATGACGTTGCTTTGTTGAACAGAGTTGTTTTGGCTATCCTGGGTTTTTTGTTTTTCCACATAAAGTTGATTATTGTTCTTTCAAAGTCTGTGAAGCATTGTGCAGGGATTTTGATGCAGATTACATGGAACCTATAGATTGGTTTTGGCAAGATTTCCATTTTTACTATGTTGATCCTACCTATCCAAGAGCATGGGAGATCTTTCCATTTTCTGGTATCTTCTTTAATTTCTTTCTTTAAAGACTCAAAGTTCTTGCTCTACAGGTCTTTCAGCTGTTTGGTTAGCATTACCCCAAGATATTTTATGTTGTTTTTGGCTGTTGTTAAGGGAGATGTTTCTCTGATTTCTTTCTCAGCCCATTTATTGTCTGAGTAAATTAGGGCTACTGTTTTTTTTGTTGTTGTTGTTTTAGTTAGTCTTGTATCCTGTCACTTTGCTGATGGTGTTTATCAGCTGTAAGAGTTCCCTGGTAGAGTTTTTGGGTCACTTATGT